GCTGATTGGGAATCTAACCTGCTGTAGACTACCTCAGAATAACAGATAATTGGCATTATGAGTTGGATTGCGAGTTTACGTCTGATTTCTATCGGTGTAAATGGAGCAGACATTCGTAAATTCCTTAAAGTATTATAGACTTTGCCTACTGTTGAATTCACATGGTCAATGCAGGTAAGGCCAGTGTTGATAATAAACCCAAGGTTAGTTACTTTTGACACAAATTTAATTGGTTTGCCACCAATGTGTAACGATGGAATAGTTGCTAGGTTAAGACGTTTCTTACAAATAGGTAAAACAAAACACTTGTCACAATTAAGACGAAGACCATTTAACTGTGCCCAGGACCTTATAGACATCAGTTCTCTGTTGAAGCTTGCGCACAAATTAGCTGAGTCCTCCAGAGGACCTGACATATAGAGCTGGACATCGTAAACAAACTAAATAGTAGTGGTCCTAAGATTGACCCTTGTGGGACACCCGTGAACAAAGGCCTTTGTTCAGATATTTGAGATCCAACCTTGACACGCTGAGACCTCTCTTTCAGATAGCTACGCATCAGTTTTACTGCTGACTCTCTAAACCCAAAGTAGTTTTTTAATTTAAAGCACAGTAGTTCATGGCTAACTGAATCAAAGGCTTTAGAGAAGTCCAGCAAGCATAGTAGTGTTAAGTGGTTCTTGTCGAACAGTATTCTAATGTCATCAAGTATCTTTACCATTGCAGTAGAGCAGCTGTGATGGGGTCTGAATCCGGATTGAAATGGGGATATAAGGTTGAATTTGCCGATGTGGGAAGAGATTTGTTCAGATAACAAAGATTCGAAAACTTTAGACAAGGCTGGTAGTATGCTGATGGGTCGGAAATCACTAGGGCTGGATGCGGATTTATTTTTGGCTACAGGAAGCACAATAGCAATCTTCCAGGCGTCGGGAAAACAGGACGTGGTGAGACTCTGGTTTATTATGTGTGTCAAGGTTGGCAAAATAATCGGTAAGATTACCTTCACAAATGTAATCGGAATGCCGTCCTCCCCGATTGCGTTGGACCTGATCTTAAAAACAGATTTCACCACATCAATCTCGCTCAGAGCAATGAACTCAAACTTTTCGCCAGCAAAAGAGACCGGACAGGAGGCTACAGAATTGGTCGTAAGGGGACAAGATGAAGGCGGAGAAGCAAAGGCAACGCTAAGCGTTTCAGGACTCAACGAGCATTCTGATTTCTCACTGGCATGGACGCGGAGTGTTCTCAGATTTCGCCACAATACATTATTAGGCAGTGAGGGATCCAGCTTATTCATAAAGAATTTTTTCTTTTCACGCCTTATAACCGAGGTAGCTTCATTCCTTATTGTTTTGAAAGCACTCCAGCTCATCTGTCGGGTTCCTTTTCCATATGTTATAATATTTATTGCGTTTTTTAATCACTGATCGGACCACACCATTAAACCAACGGCAGGAAGAAGACCTGTCACAGGTTCGGGTAGGGACATGAGTGAGGAGCGAATTTAATATATTTTCGTTTAGGAAACGGAGCTTATCATTGACCGTGCTGAGACCCCAGCAAACAGACCAATTGATCTGCAAGAGGCTACTGAAAAGGTTGTTGACATCTAAGGAACGGTAGTCAAAGAAATTAAATACATAGGTATTTTCGTCATAGTGATCAAGTTTAACGTCAAAAGAACAAAATATCAAGTCATGATCAGATATAAAAGATGTTTGGTCAAATTTCAAAACAATAGAAGGATCAGATACAGCAAAGTAATCTAATAAGCTGGGACAGCAATTGCTACCACATCTTGTGGGCAACGACAAATTAACCATAGACAACCCAACACAGGAGATATCATCTATTAAACGAGCACTGGTAGAATCAGGACATAACAGGTTCACATATACACACTGAATAAATTAAAAACTATGCAATAGAAATTCATTCATATTGCAGTCGCAGTCATTTTTACAATAAGTAAAAAATAAGAGATCATGTTTACACTTAATATAGTATTTATACATATACACATATGTGTAGTAATATTAGTATGCCACAACATATATATTGTCACTAAACACGAATAAAGGCGCGTGCTAAAAAGTTGGCCGCGAAAAAAGTCGCATAAAAAAACTTCAGCGAAGAAAGACTCTTTAACCCTCTAGTAGGCCAATTTTTTTATGAGTTGAAAAATTCAGGAATGGGTGATTTTAGCACGAGAAATCCAAAACTGATGTCCATTTCGATCTGTGACAGTATCTTTTTCCTACAGGGGAGAAAAACCAAGACCGTCTGGAGACGGGCTCGCCGATATACTTACACATATTTTCAGCTTTCTCTTACACAATGTAGACCTACGAACCGGCAATCCCATCTGCAGACGGTCAAAAATGCAAACTGGGTTTTTATATGTCGGCAAGCCGGTCTGTAGACGGTCTGTGTTCGAAAGCAATTTTCTCCATTTCGGATAGTCACACAATTATAAAACTTATATCAAAATACTGCGCTTTTAACTACGAAACCCACTGAATTTTTTTGTATCAAAAAAATTTTCAAAAAAAAATTTCTTTAATTACGAAGTTATTAAAAAGCAAGTAATAATTAATTTTAACCGTGTTTTCAAAATCTGTAATTCAACTGCCGATTAAAATAAAACGGATTAACATAACGGATTAAAATTTACTTCGCCGTAAGGGTACGATTTTTGTCTAAAAATCGTGCCTTACGAATATAGAAAAAAAATTATTATAGGTGCACTAAAAAGGTGTTTAGTTAACGACCGTCTGGAGGCGGCTCTGCCTACTGGAGGGTTAACATAGTTGACGGCGAAGGACGCGTAAATTTATATTCGCGGGCAACTATGTTTGCGGGTGTAACAGTATGTAAATTCCCCAAAGAGATTTGGGGAATGATGCTGAAGTGACAGTCCTTGGCCAAGTATAAATCTATGAGTACGCGTCTTTCTTCGCCGTCAACTAGGTTACACGTCTTTCTTCGCCGAAGTTTTTCTTAGCGCCTTTTTCGAGAATTTTTTTTTATGCATCTTTTTTTTGCCTTCGAAACACTAGCGCGCCTTTATTCGCGTCTAGTGACGACATTCTTATGTATATATACAAGTCGGACGGGTTTCGTAAAAAAAAAAATGATGACATGTCTCCGATTCGCTTCAAATCTTTTAATTGGTTCTATAAATTAAGTTCTTGTTTTCTTCGGAGATATGATCTGTCAAAGTTTGAAATTTTTCGTGATTCTGACCATTCATGTACTTCTTCATTCATGTACTATATGTTAGTGTTTGGCCGAGCTTCTCCTCCGATTTGTGGCGTGCGCCTTGATGTTGTCACACAAAGCGGAGTGACCTACAGTTTTACGCCGACTTCGAACGGCGATTATATTTTTATGAGAAGCTGTTTGTCATGGCAGAAATACACTCGGAGGTTTGCCATGGCCTGCCGAGGGATGGCCGCTGTTAAGAAAAAACCTTTTTCTATATTTTTTGCGATGTTGCTTTGACCAGGGCTTGAACATAGACGTTGCGTAGTGGAAGCGCGCACTGCTTACCACTACACTACAGCGGCCGACTGCTTACTACTACAGCGGTCTTGTTTAATTCTCTATAAAAAAGATGTTCCAAAAAATTTAAGTTTTTCAAGAATATATATTTAAAATTTTTTTTTTTTTTATGACGTGATTTATTTTGTGAGAATCAACAATGAAGTCTCTACGATGAACAGAACCCGAGATATAACAATTAGGAGAAGTACATGATTATTTAGTCAGAATCACGAAAAAATTTGGCAGATCATTTATTTATTTTTACCATAGCTTATAAATTAATTTATAAACTATTAAAAAAAAGGGTACCTGGTTACTAAGACCATTTGGTTCCCTGTCTTAAACTATTTTGGTGTTGCAACTCAGTTTGATGTCGTCCTAAATACGTTGTGTTCTTTCTTGCGTTAGACTTCGTGGAGAACGTTGTGGATTTTTAAGGCATCATTTAAAATCTGAATGGTATCAGGATTGTTACAGTTGAGAGCAGTGTCTATTTGTGTGGCTATCTTAGATAGTGGACATTCTTGCAACATGTGTTGCGTTGATAACGTTGTCCGACATATCGAACATTCCTTCAGGTTGCTTCCATTATAGTAGTGTGAAGTGCTGAATAGTGTAGCGTTTACCCGCATTCTAGCAATTTTGATGCATTCATCTAGCAATTTTGATGCATTCATCACGCGTGAAATTTGCGTTGTAGTTTGGCCGTTTAACCTGTGGGTTGTGTATACGAAGGAAGGCGTTACTGCATTCCCATCTTGCCTCCTCTTCTTCGTCTAAAATTTTGTAACAGTAATTTGTTATTTCTGTACTTATACAGGGTACTTCTGTGATTAATGGGAGCAGAAGTGCCTCCCTGGCCTTACGATCGGCGACTTCGTTTCCGTTAATTCCTACGTGTCCTGGAACCCATAAAATTTGTATTATTTGGTCTTGTTCGCATTCTCCATAACTTTGAAATATCGGTTTAATGTAACTTGTCGAACCAATATATTTTACAACACTCAGACTATCGGAACAAATTAACGTTTTAGCCTTTAAATCTAACGCATATTGGATTGCTTGTTCTACAGCAGTTAACTCGGCATTGAAGATTCCTGCGTGCGGAGGTAGTAGTGCTTGCTTCAGAGTTTTGAATAAGTCAACTGAAGTCTGCTCTACTACAGCGTAGGTCGCGATACCGCTCTGAAGGGATCCGTCCGTAAAGATGATTACCTCTGGGCAAAATGTGTTTAATGATTTTAAGTAGTATTGCTTGAACACATCAGCATTTGTGTTTCTTTTTTTATATTCACAAAGTGACAGATCCGTTTTCAAGCAGACTTTTGAATTCCGATTTTCTACCGGTTTGGCTGGTATAGGTACTTTTTTTTCTTCTAGGAAGCGTATAATATTTTCCAGAGCTCATGATTTTATTCCACGTGTTCTTTCATTGTTTTCTATTAAAGCTTGCCACATTTTTTCGTGCAAGGCATGTGCTCGTGATGTTAGAGCTTTGGCCGCTAGATTTGCTGACCTGCGTAGTAAAAGCCAAGTAAAGTCATGAAAACGCGCTTCTATCCTGAGCGCATCAACGTGTGTTGCAGTAAGCAGTCCTGACGCCGTCCTGAAACATTTATTCATTGCCGCATTAACCTTATTTTTGTTTTTTTCAGAGGCCCATCCATAAATAGTCAATCCGTGTTGGATTATACCTTCGGTCATGGCTCGACAAATTGAAATTGCTGTGTCAATATGCGGACCTTTCTTCCTAGTGCAAAATATTTTCAGCATGTTGTTAACTTTTTTCAATTTGTCGCAAATTGTATTTACGTGGTCATTCCACAACGCATTTCTGGAGAAAGTTAACCCTAGTATGGTAATTTTCGATTTAAGTTCCATATTTTCATTTCCTATTTTTAATTTCGATGGGTCGCATTTATATTTCCTACAGATGTGCATAGCTTCCGCTTTTCTTAAGGGTACCACCGCTCCTGTAGCTTTAGCCCATTGCTGAATTTTGTCGTTGAACTCATTCAAACTTTCGCTTATTTGCTCTGGTGTACCTGAAGAGAGCGCAAAAATGTTATCGGCATATATGCCCACATAGTCCACACCGTTTGTGTTTCTGATGAGTTTGATTAGAGTGTTGCAGTAAGCATTGTACAGTATGACCGACAGAGGAGAGCCTTGTGGTAGGCCATTATCTAAATTGAGGGTTTTTGACAGAAAGCCGTCTACGCGGACTGAGATTCTTCTATGGGACATGAAGGATTGAAACGTTTTTAATATATGTTTCGGTATTCCCCAGCCGGCCATTTCCTTTATAATGACCGATAATATAACCCTATCAAACGCCTTTTCTATATCCTCGGATAGTAATACACTGTGCTTATTCATTTTAAAGTTTGTTTTTATATTCGATTCTATTGTGTGACACAATGTGTGAACACCGTGTTGTGGTAAAAAACCATGTTGTTCTGGAAGGAACCATGTTTTGCAACTTTCTCTAATTCTCCGTGCTAGAATTTTATCAAAAACTTTGGCCAGCACTGAAATAAGCGAAATAGGGCGATATCCCTCCAACATGTTTGGACTTTTGTCTGGTTTGGTTATAGGCGATAAAATCGCTAGCTTCCAATAATGTGGGTAGATTCCAGTTTCAAGGATTTTAATATATAAACGGCATAACCGAATTTTCAGCGAAATGTGTGAGTGTTGGATCATGGTGTACGTTATTTTATCAATACCTGGTGTTGTGCCTTTTGAGATATTTGTCGCTTCATTGAGATCATCAATTGTTACTTCTCCAAACTTGTAGGATAGGTTGAGGTTCTCAGGTATGGAGTCTATGTTTATAATTCGCTTCCTCCTTATTAATTCAGGGTTGAATGATTGGTCTGACCCAATTGAGCTCCATACTTCTGCAAATTTATCTGATAACTTTTAACTTTTGTAGTTAACTTTTTGTAGTTAATTACATTTTCCTGGTTCCGTTTATTTTTGTAGGTATTCCATGCTGTATTTTTTAATCGGATCAGTTGTGCTATCTCGGCGTTAAACCATATTGGGCTATTTCTTAGTTTAGTGCGTTTTTTCTCTGGCATCGATTCATTTGCTGATTTTCTGATAATTTTCTTTATGTTTGCCGCCTCTTGGTTAACATTAACCGTTGAAATAAACTGTCTGCCTATTTGTTCGGTTTTGTTTGAAAAAAGTTCCCAATTTGCTTTCACATCTACAAAACCTGGTTTAAATTTTTTTAAATTAGGAGAGATGTTATTAAATATTAATATCGGGAAGTGATCGCTTCCTATTGGGAAACAGTTCCAAGAAAGCACGGCAGCTAAATCTGTACTAGCCATTGTTACGTCTACAGCCGTAAGCGTGTTTTTTGTGCTAAGTAGTGTAGGTGAGCCATCGTTTAGACAAATCAGATTTCGATCATTTGCAAATTCCTCCCATATACTTCCATTTCTGTTTGTAGTTTGTGATCCCCATAACGTGTTATGCGAATTTAAGTCACCTAGCTCTAGGTGATGTCCAGTGCTGTATTTGGGTATACTATCAAGCAGCTGCGTCGTTAGGTACATGTCTGTTTCTTTGTATATATTTGTTAGGTGCAGGTCGGTCAAACCATGGACGGTTATGGATTGATGAAGAAGGTTATTGGAGGATATTATATGATTTGATACACTTAAAGTGTTTTTAATCAAAAAGGCTACACCTGATTAGGCGTATTGATAATCTTTATTGTGGTGAAATATCTTATAAAGGGGTAAGTGTAACAGATTTGAATTTTTTTGCACAATGTGTGTTTCTTGTAGCATGATTATGTCAGGTTTGTGTTTCGTAACTAATAATTCAAGTGCATATTTATTATTGACAAATCCCTGTATATTCCTTTAAACCTATATCCATACCTTTGGTTAAGCTTTAAATAGTGTGTAGTATTATTTATTCGTGGTCTGAGTTTTCGTTGTAATGTAGTTGTGTTGGAATGCAGTAGTTGTTGCTTTCTATCATGGTGGAATAATAACAAGGTGTTGTCAGTAGCGAGGTGTTTGTTGTGATTTTGACAAGATCGGCGTGCTTATTTTCAGTGCTGCCGATCTTAATTTTTATACTACTATTCGTTGGGAAATAGTATCTAAAATACTCGATTTTAGTAATTCGTTTTACCGCGATTTTTAAAGAACTTGGTGTTTTCAGAACAATATTAATATTTAAAATTGCTGGATTTGTATAGTTTTTGTCCTCAAAAAGTAGAAAAATAAAAGATATCGTGGTTATCAATGGAAAAAAATGTACCCAGAAATCGTATGGAAAGGCGCTTTTTTATATTAAATAACTTTTGCTGCATTGCCATTATATTGAGCCAAATGAACTACTGATACACTAGAATAGAGTGGCTGCATGGTTAAATTAGGAATTCGCTTATATTATCGATATTTATGTGTTTTAATCTATTTAGAAAATCATGTGCAGTCTTAGAGGAAATTGCCTTATTTTACGGCTTTTACTTTTTTAAAGTTACAATATATGTCCAAGCTGTGTGGAGCTGCCGATACAAACATATATTAAGGCTTATAAGCCTGTAATTATACATTTTGCTACATTTAATTTGAATAGTATGCACCAACGGATTAAAGGTAGTAAATAATTAGTACCTTTTCTAGTACTTTAAAATGCGTGACCGGAATAGACCTGCCGAAAAAGTGAGGTTAAGTTACTGACAACACCTTGTTATTATTACACCATGCTTTCTATTAAGTTTTGCGTTAGATTCGTCAATGGTGAAAGATGCATTTGGGTTTGAGTGGAGTAATTGTTGTTAGAAGAAGATGAAGATGTATGCGGAGTTGAATTGTTAAATGTTGCGATTGTATTTGAATAATGTTTTTTGTGTACTTCTGTAACAGATGACATTTCTAAGTCACTCATTCGTGTCGGTGAGTCTATTTCTTTTATTTTTGTTTCAGTTTCTTTTTGTTTCAGATGTGTTCCGAGTTTAGGTCGGAAGGTAAGTGTATTGTTTTTGGTTGATATTGTTTTCGTGTGTTCTATTTTATTGCTATCTGTGTTTGAGTGTGATGTTTCGTTTTGGGAGGGTTTATTGTTCAAAGTTGATGTAGTTGGGGGAGTATGATTTTTATTTGTTTCGCTTTGATTTGGTATGGAATTTTTAACCACTTCGGCCAGTGACGGTTTACTTGTTTGTGTTTTTATGGATTCTAATTGGTATGCGTTTGGATTGCTGTTATATACTTTCCATGCGTCTCGAATTGTACATCTACGTTCGATTTTTATTTTGTTGACCGTTTTGTGTTTAATAAAGCTAGGGCAAGAGAAATCATCTGAGGTATGTGTCGTTGTTACAATTTACGCAGAGTTTTCGCGAACAGTTATCATGTGGAGGAGATATAGCGCATTGCTTGCAGAGTTCAATGTTCTTACATGTATTTTTGGTGTGCCCTAATTTTTGGCAGTTTTTTGCACCTCATCGGATTCGGAATATGCTCGCGAACATTGACTCGTTCCCATCCTATGTGAATTTTTTCAGGTCTACGTATAAGGTCAAAAGTGACGATGGCTGCACCTGTTGGGGTTTCCGTTCCGTTTATCAATTTGGATAATTTTTTAATTTCGATGACTTTTTGACCTGCCAATCCTTCAACTAATTCTGTTTCCGTAAGGTGAATTATGTTTTTTGAAAAAATTCGGCCTTGTGTGGAGTTCAGGCTCCTGTGGGAAGTGATTTTCACTGGTACTAAATCGATGTGTGTCGCTTTAATAAATTTATCGGCTGCCTTTAAGTTGCTAACTTTGATAAGTAGGTCTCCAGATTTAAGTTCCGTAACTTCCGTATAATCGGTGCTTATGTGTTTGAGCCCTTTTTCAATTTGAAAAACATTGTATGAAGCTAATGGACGTGTTACCTGCGCTATACCAGTAGCAGTTTCTCCAATTTTTGGACCTGTTGCTGAAGCAATAAGATACCGTGGAATATGGTCGTCGTTCTGCGTAGTTTCCGGAAGTGGTGTGAAATCATCAGTCCTTAGTCGTTTACCGTGAGTCTTTTTGCCAGAGAGGTTTACATCGGGATCTAGGTCTCGGAACCTATTCCTGTTGGGGGGGTGAACCCCATTCATTTCGCCGTGTACTAATCAGAGTTTTTGAATTTTGCACTATGTGTATATGTGTATATGCACTTATACAGTACTATATTATAATTACGTAGCAAAAGAGAAACTGAGTTAAACCGTTTTTAGTCAATCAATGATCGCGGTAACAAGCAGGTCTTAGCGCGGCAATTGCCTGAGCTAGACTCGTTGGCAGATCATATATCCGAAGAAAAAAGAAAAAAATTGAAGCCAATCGAAATTGTGACACCAAATTTTGTGTCCCATATAAAAAGAATGCCTCATATATATGTTATATATATATATTTATTTATTTCGAGTCTATGATTTCCAAAATCTTACAGACTAAATATCAACAATTAATAAATTAAAAATTTACGAATCAAGAGTAAATAAGGTTTTTTTATATTCTAGGCGATTAGCGAATATGTTGACATTATTGTCTGTACATAAAGCATTGAACTCACTCATTACCCTAACAACTGGTTGATTTAGAGCACATTTGGTTTTACAAAAATCAATCGAAAACAAATCGTGTTGACGAAGCATTGTCATTGGAGCATTGAGTTTAATGAGATCTAAAAGTTGAGTTTCATGAGATCTCGAGTCAATTGCTCCACTCAAAACAGCATGTAAGAACATTAGTATGTCGCTTAGAGTTTCATACAAGTTTTAAGCTCAGATACGGATGCATGTAAAAAACACGCCTATTATTTGATTATTTGTAGGGTTGCATTTTATAATTCTTTTATGCCATTAGAGTAGAGTGTCTGAATTTCGTTTTATTTCAATTTGGTCGTAGATTAAATTATACCCCGGGATCCCGATGGATTTCGGGACTCAAAACAGGGCCCGGGATTCGGGATCCCTAATCCCGGTACTAGATGCCTTAGTGGTAACATACCATAACGCCATAGCTATAACTACATAACCGTAACCACATTAACTATCATCGATTATAGGTATCATAACCATATACAGCTGATTTTTCGTAGTTGTTGTTGTAGCGGCTACAACAACCCCGCCCAGATCGGTTAATATCTCAGACGTTGTCGTCAAGCTCCACTAACGGAAGCCCCAAGAAGCGTGCAGCCTCGACGGGTTAGGTCCACAGGGACAAAGGCGTTATCTGTGTGGGGTTTTCTGGGCATACAAAGAGATGTTTCGATTCGTGGGGTGTTTTTCCGCATGCCGGACACTCATTTGGTACATCTGCGTCTAATCTGATTAGGTATGAGTTAAACCTGCCGCAGTAGCCAGAGCGAAGTTGGGCTATTGTGGTTCTAGTCTCCCGAGGCAGACGAAGCTCCGTCTCTTCGATAACAGGTGGTTGTGTGCCTAGAACGGCATTCACAGGTCTGGAGTCTACATAACTCGAGACTGACTCCCTGTGAATGCCGCTCAGGGCCTGTCGATAAGCTGAGGGGGTCCAGAGGTTGCTTTATCGAGGGCTCCTCTGCAAGCAAGTGTCTGTTCGGGTGTCCACGTCTGTGGCTCCCTACTAGGAATTGCTTGCAGAGCATTGTGTTGTGCTCCTTTATGGGGAGCATTTTCGCCTCGTCGTGCAGGTGGTGTTCGGGCGACATCAGAAGACATCCAGTCGCTGTCCGAAGTGCAGTGTTTTGAGTCGTCTGCAGCTTCAACCACTGCGTCCTCCTAGTCCCCGGCGACCGGCCTATTGCCTTGTATGTTGCCAGCAACGTTTCTTTGTCTTTGCCCCAAATACTGCCGGCTAGCGACTTGAGGACCTTATTGCGACTCTGTACTTTGTTGACAATAGCGGTTGCATGCGCAGAGAAGGAGAGCAGACTGTCGACGGTTACTCCGAGTATTTTGGGGTTATTCACCGTCGAAATCGGTGTAACATCGACGTGAATTCTCAGCGGTAGTCTGACCTCCTTCGTCCAGTTGGTGAACAAGGCCGCAGAGGATTTTGTAGGGGAGAGGGTTATGGTGCATTTACATGGTATGAAGCCATATGAACTGTTGATGGGCTAAAATGGAAGGACTACATGTTCTAATGAGGAATTCGATGATATTGAGTAGGATGCATATAATAAATACATATTTTCATATGAAAAATTATGGGGAGATACTGTAAACATACTGTTGTGATACTGTTAAGCATATGAAATTATAGCAAGTTGGGTTTTCATACATCTTCCCATAAAAAGTTTAACAGATGCAGAGATACCAAGGAGATTTTTCCCATTTTGATGCCCTTTTTAATATAAAACCCACCGATAAGGAGGAAAGAGGCAACTTCGCCATTCACATACATGTCAAAAGTAGGAATTTCAAAAATTAAAAACAATAAACAAACAATTTCAAAAAAAAAATCTTTGTGCTAGATCTTTTTCATAGAAGCAACTACGTATGGTGGACAATAAAAATACAAACCACTATAATAACAAGAGGCAGCAGCCACCGCACCGATTGTAGTCACCGCTCCAAGAACCAGCATCGCTCGGGTAGTCGGCGTCGCTCTACGAGTCGACACCGCTCAGAGAGCCGGCAGCGCTCCAATAGCCGGCGCCGCTCCGAAAGCGGTCACCGGGCGGAGAAGGCGAGACTCCATAGGTCGCACAGCAGCAGCGCCTCAGCAGCGTCCGACGACTCCGGGTGGCAGAAGCAAAGGAGTTGGAAGCACCGCAGGGCCAAGCCTCCTCCGATGCCGCGGCCAGGTCCACCGGGGTCCCTAGACGATCGGCTTCGCGAGGGCTTAAGCGGTTCCGGGGTTAAATGGTACCTCCGGTACCTCGGGCAGGCAAGCCCTCAGTTGAAGCCAGAGCCATGGCAGAGGTCAGAATGGAGATTGAGAATGAGAAACGTGAGAGACACAGGAAAGGCGACAAACCCGCACCCGCCGATAGGTGGAAGAGCGGGCCCAACAAACAGGCACACTTACCCGCACCTGCTGAAAAGCAGAAGAGCGGGCCACAGCGACAACAGCAGCACAGACCCGCGCCCGCTGAAAAGCGGAGAAGCGAGGAACCAACAGGCTCCAACAAAAGAGGTAGCAACCAGGTCACTCCGCCAGAGACACCGGGCACCAAACGGCAGCGGGAGCAGCCACCCCCTCCGAACTCATGGTCTAGGAGCCGATCGAGCAAGGACATGCGCAGGGGGGTTCCACTCAGCAACCCAGCTATTCGGAAGCCCTCAAAGGCATTCGGGTAGCGGTGCTGCTTTGTGAGTACCCTGCTGCTGCCCTGAGCTCGGAAGACCTAACCAGACTCCAGGATGCCATCATGGAAGAGGTTTTCAAAGGATGGTCGCACCCGCTGGTGTTCTGTGGTGTGTACTTCAGATCCGGCATGCTCCTGGTGGACTGCAGGGACGAGAGAACAGCAACCTGGCTGGTGAAGAAAGCACCGGCACTTGAGGGCTGGAAGGGACCAGAGATGTGCACGAAGAGGGGGATGACATCCCTCCAGTGCATAACATCACGGTGTTCCTGCCAAGGAGCGCCGATAAGTCGGCGGAGTTTGCGTTGGGGCTACTAAAAGCGCAGAATGAGGGCACCCACATCTCTGCGTGGAAGGTAGTGTCCAGCTCCGTAGAGGAGAACGGGCGCAGACTATTTCTGGGCATAGATGAGGAATCGTACGTCAGCATCAAGAGGGCTGGCTTCAACCTAAACTATAGGTTCAGTTTCGTCACGGTGAGGCCGTGGCGACAAAAGGTCCGCTGCCCAGGCGACCCAGTCAACCTCGACCTTACCGGCGGAACAGCCACCCCTCAGTCAGCTACCCCTAACCCAGACACCAACTCCAGACACCAACTCCAGCAAGCACGTCCGAGCCAGCCACCACCACCAAGCCAGCGGAAGACGTGCCATCCACGCAGGAGTTGCTATCAGGCATCGACTTCAGGCGACTTGAGCTCGATAGGAGAAGCGAGAGCGAACTACAGCTCTCCGATCTCGACGAGCCCCAACTATGACCACGCATCACTTGGCAGTAGCCCAGGTCAACCTGCATCATGCGGTGGCTGCTTCGGCGGTCATCTCTAGCAGGTTCGCCACGGATGACCTGGGCATTCTACTGATCCAAGAGCCGTGGACCTACAGAGGCCAGGTTAGGGGCCTCAACCACAACAACAACAAGGTAATTTGGGACCTCTCCTGCGGGAGGCCCAGATCATGTGTGGTGCTTAAGAAGAACATTGATTACTTTTGCATTACAGAGTTTCTTACACAGGACTTGGTCGCAGTGCAGACGACGCTCTCGTTAAGTGGCAGAAGCCTAGAGGTGGTGTTTGCCGCGGCCTATTTCCCGGGGGACAGCAACTACGCCCCTCCGCAAGAGGTACAGCAGCTAGTGGAATTCTGCAGAAAGAGACGGCTCCACCTCATCATACGAACCGCAGAGGTGAGTGTCTCCTAGAGTACATCTTAAGTGAGGAACTAAGCATCCACAATGTTGGCCAACACCGATATTTGTAACGAGGGCTAGAGAGGAGGTACTAGACATCACGCTTAGCAACAGACTGGCTAGCCCTCTGGTCACCCAGTGGGGGTCTCATCGGAGCCCTCACTGTCAGACCATAGGATTATCCAGTTTGTACTGGGAGTAGAAGTCAAAACTAGGCAGGCAAACAGGAACCCCAGGAAAACTGACTGGACAAAGTACAGCGAGACTTTAGAGTCAAACCTAACTGGAATTAAGTCCAGGAGTAGGTACACCAACTGCATGAGCCTAGAGAGCACCGTCAATGAGTTAAATGGCGTAGATGCCTTTCACTCAAGCTGCCCGGAGACAAAACCAGGAAGGAAGGCGCAGCCCAACTGGTGGTCTCGGAACATATCGGTGCTCAGAAAGGAGGTACGCAAACTATTTAATAGAGCAAAGCGCACAGGGCGCTGGGCTGAGTATTCAGCAAGTCTAACTAATTACAGTAAATAAATCAGGAAGGCTAAACGCGACAGTTTCAGGAAGTTCTGTGAGGGCATCTCATCGACTCCTTCAGCTGCCAGGCTGCACAAGGCCTTGGCAAGGGACCATACAGATACCAGACTAGCAATCCAGCCAATGGCACTTACTCAGGCAACGAAGAGGAAAGGGCACTTGACCTACTTTCGGCCCATTTCCCGGATGCCACTCCCACTTCGGGGGAGGCACCGTGCCGACGGACCAGGCCGTCCCCAGTGGACTGGAAGCTGGCTAGGAGTCTATTTACCCACCGATCAGTCTGCTGGGCGATAGACTCCTTCGACCGGTATAAATCCCCCGGGGTGGATGGCTTCAGTCCAGTGTTGCTGAAGCAAGGCAAGGAGCTCCTACTTCCACACCTCGTGAACATCATGAGGGCTAGCCTAGCGCTCGCTCACATCCCTGAGGTGTGACAAGGGCTCGGGTTATTTTTATCCCGAAGATAGGTAAGAGAGATTATTCTCTAGCTAAGTCCTTCAGGCCGATAAGCCTTACCTCCTTCCTGCTTAAGGCGATGGAGAAGGTGATCGACCATGAACTCAGGAACAGCACCCTTAAACAGGTGCCTTTACACCCCGACCAACATGCCTACAGAGTGGGAAGGTCTACGGACACCGCACTGTACACCTTGTCTACGGTAGTACAAGATGCATTTGAGTGTGGGGAAACAGTACTCTGTGCCTTCATCGATATTGAGGGGGCGTTTGACAACACCTCTCATATTAGCGTCGACCGGGCACTTGAAAAACGCAATGTGCAGGCAACGATCCGCAGGTGGATACTAAATTCAAGAATCGCTGAAACCGACATCGGGGACAGCGTGGTACAGCTAAAAACTACAAAAGGTTGCCCGCAGGGAGGAGTCTTATCCCCTCTCCTGTGGAGCTTAGTTGTGGACGAACTTCTACGGATTCTCACGGACAATGGCATCCGCTGTCAAGGCTATGCGGATGACATCGTGATTATCGCCAGAGGAAAGTTCGTGAGCACTCTCTGTGATATAGTGCAAAGGGGACTAAACCTGGCAAGAGGCTGGTGCGTGGACATGGGCCTCAGCATCAACCCCTCTAAAACGGTTATTGTCCCTTTCGCTAGAAGAAGAACGCTTCCAGGCATGAGGAACATTTCTTTGAATGGGGCCGCCATCAACGTCGCCACCGAAGTTAAATATCTAGGACTAACCCTGGATTCTAGACTTCTGTGGAAGGCACATGTTGACGCGGTCACTTCCAAAGCTACGAGGGCACTAATGGTATGCAAACGCCGGGCAGGGAAGACCTGGGGCTGTAGTCCCAGGATTTTGAGATGGATGTATACCATGATAGTTAGACCAACAGTCACCTATGGAGCAGTGGCTTGGGCCTAGAGAACCACCCTCACCACGGTGAGGCAATCCCTCACCAAGCTTCAACGTCTGGCATGTGTATGCATTACGGGGGCAATGCGCACATGTCCGACGGCAGCGCTGGAGGTGATTCTCGAGCTCGAGCCGCTGCACCTTACCATAGAACAGGCTGCAAAGCGAACTCTACTAAATTTCGCGAGGGAAGGCTTTGGCAGGGGCAAAACCATATCATTAAGGAACAGAGACAAGCTAGGCTCCCAAGTTCCGCTAGCTTTACTCCCCAGAGACGACAGGTCTAAGGTGGTTAACTTTGACAGGTTTTCAAAATAGAGCTTTGCACCAAGGCGACCTGGAGCACCTCTCTCATGGAGAGGCTGATCCAATCGAGCGCGTTGCAATGGTACACAGACGGCTCGAAGACTCCGGAAGGCATTGGGGCATGCGTCTACGGGCCGAGGCTACAGCTCTCGGTACCTATGGGGGCATACCCGAGTATCTTCCAGGCGGAGGTCTATGCCATCAGTCTGTGTGCAGAGATTAATCTACGTAGGAATTACCGTAACGAGAGAATTTTAATATTGAGCGACAGCCAGGCGGCACTCCAGGCCCTCAGCATTTGAGGTCAAGTCGTCCTTGGTTCTTGAGTGCATAGATAGGCTCAACAGCCTGGCGGAGCAGAACGAAATCCAATTAACTTGGGTACCAGGACACATAGGAGTTGCGGTCAACAAGGAAGCGTACCGACTAGCCAGAATGGCTGCAGCCTCCTCGCCTATAGGGCCTGAGCCCTTCCTATCGATTGGACCTAGTACAATCAAAGAGGAGCTCATGAAAGAAAGGAACATACAAAGGAATCAACACTGGCGTAACACTACAGGTTTACGTCAAGCAAAACACCTACTGGGAGGCTACAACCTTACGAGGTACAGGGCAATTATCAATCTATCCAAAGGTAAACTAAGGATTATAACAGGTTTTCTGACGGGTCACTGCAGACTGAAAGGCCACCTACACAAGCTAGGGATTTGGTCAAACGTCGTTTCTGCGACGTGACCGAGGAGACTCCCGTCCACCTGCTTAGCGAATGCGCGGCGGTCGCGAGAAGACGGGAGAGGTACCTGGGCCACTACTGGCCAAGTAACGAAGCAATACAATCGCTAATCCCTGGGGATCTTCTCAAATTTTTGGGCTCCCTAGGATTAGATGAGGTACTGTAAATGGTTGAGGGCACAATAGACCTGCTGGTCGCAGTGCATGCCTCTATTAATTATCTATCTATCTATGATAACAAGAAATTACGCAACATTTTAATGAGCTTTATATCACATTTAAGTAAAAATAGGCCTATATTTGCCAAGCTGGCAAAGAAATGAAAATGAGTATTTTTTGTTGTTTACAAAAGGACTTGCCAAGTATACATATAAGTCAAAATTATAGAAGGCATGTATACTTCTCCCTTTCATTTTTTCATACAGTTGATGCTTCTTTCTGGCTTTTACAAAATGCAGGGTTACCACACTTATTTCGGTACAATATGATCGTAATGTATTTTCAATTCGAAATTAAAGAAAAACATCCCACGTAAATGTTTGCCATTGTAGAACAATAAGTGTCTATTTGCAAACTAATGCAAAGAATGCAGTGCCATATCTTAAAAGGTTAAGAGAATTAACGAAACAAATAAACATTTTATGGTCTTATGTTTCCTTCAAACCGTATTGCTATTTTTTCTAACTCTTACTTTTGTTTAGCGCTGTAACCGCTTAAGTTATATTTTTTAATTTACATATATATGTGAGTTATTTTCAATGAGCATTTTTTCATTTGCTCCTGAATTTTGGGTACATTTTCTTATAGTACCTCTCATTCTTTTTTATATTACATATATACACTCCGATGTTCGCGGTCGCCCCTCTGTTGGTGATAGTAAACCTCCGAGTGTATTCTGTGATGAAAACAGCTTCTCATAAAAAAACCATTGCCGTTCGGAGTCGGAGTAAAACTGCTCTTCCCCTTTGTGTGACCAAATCAAGGCGCACGCCCCATATCGGAGGAGAAGCTATGCCAAACACTAACCTATTAGGGGTATTCTCCAAATCATGCAAAGCCATTGCACGTAGCACGGATTGCATGGATTGCATAACTTGCAAACACAACAACAAAATTCATGGGAAACAACATTTCCTATCGCTGCAAAATATGCAACGTCGAAACGCATGTATATATTTTGCAAAATAGCATAGCAAGATAAATGCGACCCTGTGCTAGTTGTTTTGTTGTTGGAATTGCTACATATTTCTCTCATTCCTCTCAGCTCGCTCACTCTTTTTTTTTGCTGTCTCTTTTTATTGTATTTGATACATAATTTCGCTGCTTGCTACCCATGCATGCTACCCAGTGGCGTAGCCAGGATTTGGCGAAGTTGTGATACACAATGGCTAGAGGCGTCGCACTATAGGCAAAACACGAGTTTTTTTTTCAAAATCGTAGATCTTCGCTTAGAAAAGAGATAATGGAATAAAAAACTATAGAGAAGTTACAACAACAATAACTTAACCCTCAAAATACCGTTCAAAATGTCACTTTTTTAATTTTGGATTTTGGCTCCCATTCCACTAGAAAACACTATATTTAATACACCATTAGCACTGTTTCTGAAAGATTTCTCTTTATTTTATCTTAAGACTCGATTCTTGGGACATTGGATGCTGTACCCGAGTGGCCAGATTGGAAAAAGAAAAGCTACCTTAAACTCTAATAACTCGTAAACTATCAGCTTTCACAAAAAAATTTATTTAACAAAAATGGTTATACTGGTCGATATCTTTACGAAAGTGCAGCATTTAACCCTTTAATGCAGAGTCTGTCATATATGAAACGCTTTTTAACCCTTTCAAGGCAGAGGCAAAATGGTTCTCAATATGTTTTCAACGTACTTTTTATTTATTTTTATTTTTTTTTATTTTTATTTTTAATATCTTTATTTTTATTTTATTTTTAATTTTTTTTATTTTTTTTTGTTATTATCTTACTAAGGAAACATTTTCTACGATTAATATCTACGTCAACATGAGAAAAAGCACGTTCAAAAGCATATTGAGAACCTTTTTCCTCTGCCTTAAAAGGGTTAAAAGCGTTTCATATATGACAGACTCTGCATTAAAGGGTTAAATGCTTCATTCCATTATCTCTTTTCTAAGCGAAGAAAAGAAGAAAAAAACTCGTGTTTTGCCTATAGTGCGTCGCCTGTGGGCATTCTCTCATATATGTATGTATGTGCCATTTCTACCGTTATATATTTTTTGTCTACTCGGTTATTCCCTGGGGAGTTCATGCTTTATTTAAATTTAAAAAATTAAATTACTACACCATTTTAATTAATTAGT